TGCCCCTCTGTTGGTCTTCCATGGTCTCTTGTGTTCTGGGGGCCTCTGGATGTCTGGAGTTTTGATCTCCTCCATACCCGCTTCACACCCTGGAGGACGGGGCTGTGGCCCCCCCACACTCCCTAACAGATCATTACATGGAGAAACCTTTGGAATGCAAGCATGCTGATCCACACAGGTATGCACACATGGGTATTCACAGACGCGGACTAAAGCTTTCTTGGCTGCTGCCTCAAAGCACACTGTGCGCTGTCTATCTTGCGTGCTGCACAATATCGTTTATTATTTAGTAAATATTGATATCTATGACTAGCTAGTTTATTGTGATGGTGCTTTGTTTTCTCTATTATTATGTTGCTCTTTGTTGTTTGCTGTCTCCTCTGTTTGTTTTTTTTATTTGTTTTTTTTTTTCTCCATACAGGTGACCCAGGAGTTCTTTTTTTTTTTTCTCTCTCTTACCCCCCCCTCTCACCGTCTCTTCTCCCCTTTGGTTTTCTTTCTTTCTCTCCCCCTCTTTCTCTCATTCATTCCCCCTGTCCTATTTATAAAAAAAAAAAAAAAAAAAAAATGTCATAAATTCCGTTTTCACGGATGCCTGGATGTTAAACTCAATTGTTACATCTGGTAGAGCAGAACACTGATAATTTTATTAAAGATGAAAGACTTTAGACAGTTTTTCAACTCTCAGTAATGCCATAGTGATCGTTTGATATATGGACCTGCAGCGGAGTTTAGGCCCAGACACGGCTAGTGACGTCAGACTTAACGACCGGATAGAAGAAAGGAAAGCGCTCTTAACCCTTTAAGACCTACCATAGAACCAAGTCCGCCAGAGCTTCCTTTATATTTTTATATGCTGTAGTGCCATTTTTGGGAACATTTCAAGTTGCTATACATCAATACAACTGTCATAGCCCATATTTTAATAATATGTATGCATTAAGTCCATAGTAACTACATTAATTGCAAAAAAGTGATTTAAAAAGTGAAAAAAGTGCAATAAAGTACAAACAAATTGAAAATCATTTTTGTTTTTTTTTACATAAATTTCTACTTGGAGAAATTTAAGAGGTTTATCCCTCAAAAATTTAAATACAAAAAAGTTGCAAAAAATAGTTTACAACAACAGGAAATTTATTTTGAGTGTCTTCATAGATTTGCTGCTACGGAGTCGGGGTGGTCTGCCTCTCCCCACCGCAGGGAAAAGGGTAACACCACCTGGGTCTGGGTGCAGTTCCCCCCTCCAGGGGCAAGGGTACCTAGACCCGGTTTGTAGAGTACGCTTGGGGAGTGTGATTGTGTGTACAGCGTCTCTTTATGTCTGTCTCCACGTTGGTTGAGTGTGGAGTGAGTGCATATGAGAGCTTGAGGGGGGGAATGGATGTTTGTGTCTGTGTGTGCCTGTATGTCTGTGTCTATATGTCAGGTTGGGTATCAGACACCACCTCTCTGGGGACACCTCAGGCCCTCCAAGGTTTGGAGGCCTATCTCCACCCACCACCACTTCCCCTGCCGGTGGCGGACTCCCTCAGGTGTCAGTGCGTTGGTGGTTCTTTGTGTCTGGGGGTGGGCGCCCAGGTACACACCGGCTCACTCCTTGGCGGCCGCTTATCGGGGCCTGGAACCTGGGGCTCGCTCGGACCACTTCGGAGGTGGGGTGCCCCCGGCCTCTCGGCCTGGGGCTCGGTCACTCAGGCACAGCTGGCTGCCGGCGGAGCTCACGGGCGCGTCACTGCAACTCCCCCTGGCTTCTGCTCCGCGGCTGCTGAGTGAACCCTCATCTGGGACTCTCCTCAGCTCTTTCTGGGACAGTGGCGCGGCTGCCCCTCTGTTGGTTTTCCATGGTCTCTTGTGTTCTGGGGGCCTCTGGATGTCTGGAGTTTTGATCTCCTCCATACCTGCTTCATACCCTGGAGGACGGGGCTGTGGCCCCCCCCACACTCCCTAGCAGATCGTTACATGGAGAAACCTTTGGAATACAAGCACGCTGATCCACACAGGTATGCACACGGGTGTTCACTGCTCGTAGACTTAAATTGCACCTTTCTTGGCTACTACTTCGAAGCACATCTGTCCTGCGTGCTGCACAACAACATTGAATATTTAGTATATACTGCTGTTTACACTTAGCGAGATTAATGCGATGGTGTTGTGTTTAGTATGTTGCTTTGTTTTTTTTGTCTTCTATTCTTCTCTCAACAGGTGATCCAGGAGATTTTTATTTTTTTTCTCCCCCCCTTTCTCACTGTCCTTCTCCCCTTCTGTTTTTCCTTTCCTTCCTCTTTCTTTCTCCCTTTCCTATCCCTCACTGATGTCTGTCCCGTCTGTAACATCTGAAAATAAAATATAATAAATAATAAAAACAAAGATCGACCAAATGGACCAATACGGCAATGCCACGAAGATCCATTTGGCAAAGTAAATCCATTGGGTATCCTTGTTGGTCTTCAGACAACAATTCTGATGGCTAAAGAACCAAATGGGACAGGCAAAAAAAAATAAATAAATAAAATTATTCCTCAAAAATACAACTTGCCTAATAATTCTGCACTCCCTGCACAAACGTCACTGCTGTTTAGTTTTCTGTCTTCATTTATGTTGGATGTGATAACAGAGCTGTACGTTTTAATTTGTTTCCAAAACCCGCAGTCAGGACATGCTATATTGTATTTAGATAGAAGCTAGCGAGCTAACTTCCTGCTAACTTCTAACTCCGTTAAATGTCATAAATTCCGTTTTCACGGATGCCTGGATGTTAAACTCAATTGTTACATCTGGTAGAGCAGAACACTGATAATTTTATTAAAGATGAAAGACTTTAGACAGTTTTTCAACTCTCAGTAATGCCATAGTGATCGTTTGATATATGGACCTGCAGCGGAGTTTAGGCCCAGACACGGCTAGTGACGTCAGACTTAACGACCGGATAGAAGAAAGGAAAGCGCTCTTAACCCTTTAAGACCTACCATAGAACCAAGTCCGCCAGAGCTTACTTTATATTTTTATATGCTGTAGTGCCATTTTTGGGAACATTTCAAGTTGCTATACATCAATACAACTGTCATAGCCCATATTTTAATAATATGTATGCATTAAGTCCATAGTAACTACATTAATTGCAAAAAAGTGATTTAAAAAGTGAAAAAAGTGCAATAAAGTACAAACAAATTGAAAATCATTTTTGTTTTTTTTTTACATAAATTTCTACTTGGAGAAATTTAAGAGGTTTATCCCTCAAAAATTTAAATACAAAAAAGTTGCAAAAAATAGTTTACAACAACAGGAAATTTATTTTGAGTGTCTTCATAGATTTATTTTTGAGATACACCAATTTTTATCTACTGCAGGAAAAACGAAAAACAATCCTATGATGCAAATTTGCAAAGAAAACAGAATGTGCATCATTCTAAGCATCCCAGCAACTATTCAGAAAAATATAAAGTCAAGCATGACTTATAAAAACACCATTATAGGCTTTTAAGGCCTACAAGTAAAAAACTACATTTTCCGCGAAAATGACGTCACTTCCGGTTTCAGGCAGGAAATGCGGACATGCGATCGTTCGCGCTGACGTCTGTTTCAATGTGGGAAGTGTAACAAGCAGCTGATCGTATCGGCAAAGCGTTTTTCGGGAATATTATGTTTTTGTTCCTGTTTTTGTTCCAGACAGGCTCAGCATGGAACCACCTTTTAGCAATGTCGGCATTGACGTGTTTGGGCCCTTGTCTGTATCAGCCCGTCGCACGAGAGGAGGCCACGCTGATAGTAAGAGGTGGGCTGTCCTCTTCACCTGTCTGTGTGTCAGAGCTATATACATTGAGGTAATTGAGTCATTGGATTCCTCCAGTTTCATAAACACATTCAGAAGGTTTATGGCGATTCGAGGGCCTTTGAAAAACATACGCTCTGACCGGGGCACTAATTTCACCAGAGCTTGCAAAGATATGGGGATTCCTTCAAATCTTGATGGGAAAGCCATGGAGAGGTTTCTGTCAGAACACGGATGTACTTGGACCTTCAACACACAACATTCCTCTCATATGGGAGGAGCATGGAAAAGGATGATCGGCATCACACGTCGTATCCTGGACTCGATGCTTCTTCAAATGAGCTCCTCCAAACTCACACATGACGTACTCACAACATTCATGGCTGAGGTTTCAGCCATAGTGAACAGTCGACCACTTGTGCCTGTGTCAAACGATCCTACAGATCCTTTCATTCTTACACCGGCTTCATTGCTTACTCAGAAAGTAGGTCCATGCCCAGTACCAGAAGGAGATTTTGGACATAAGAACCTATTGAAGCAACAGTGGTGCAGGGTCCAAAGCTTGTCTAACACATTTTGGGACAGGTGGCGGAAACAGTATCTGTCAACGCTACAGTGTCGAACAAAGTGGACATCTGACCGGCCAAACCTTAAGAAAGGAAGCGTGATGCTTCTTAAGGACAGTCAGTGCAGTAGGAACAAATGGCCCTTAGGAATTATCATTGATGTGTATCCTAGTAAAGATGGAAGGGTGCCCAAAGTGCAAGTAAAGGTCATCAAGAAAGAGGAACCAAAGCTTTACGTCCGACCTGTGAATGAGATGATCTTGCTCATTCCTCCGGATGACTGAAATGTGTTTGACCTTGTCATATTAGTAGGTGAAACCCGCTGGGTTTCAGACGGGGAGTGTTCTGTCACCATGTAACTGTTTAGTCTGAATGTCGACTCTAGCAAGGCGTTAGAGGCAGAGGACATTACAAGTCCCTCCAGAACAAAGAAATTCAACTGCCTGTCTCACTCTCCGCTATTCCCCTCCCTCTCTGTTTATTACTAAGTCCGCCATCTTCAGTAAACTTCGTAAAATTGTATCTGCATCTGAGACTGCTTTTGACCCAAATGTTCTGTATTAATTTTTTAAAAAGGCTCAACCCAGTGCTTCGCTTTTTGTCTAACCTGGGTTGATCTTACATGGAAACACCCTGTAGTTGATCAGCATGCAAAATGTACTTACAGATCATCTGAATCATCAACAAGATCAGACTTGGTGCAAATAAAATGAATTTGCTGACATTCGCCACCATTTCCAATCAGACTACTGACACTTTCCAGGATCCCCCAGGCTGCTTTCTCTGATGCTGCTCGATTAATTTCAGTCACAATCCACACAATAGAACAATCTCCAACTATCTGAAAGGAGAATAACATGTCTCAGTGCTTAATAGAAAGATGACTGTTTACAGACAACACAGTATAAGCAAAGAGCAGTAAATGTGAATTACCCCTTTCCACATCTGATCTCTGCTCTTGTTACAGTCACCATTTCCAGGGAGGTCCACAAGTGTCACATGCTGGAGAAGAGGCCTGTTTGGCACCCTGACAGTCACACACTTCACTAGTGGCCAAAAACACTTTTTTCCTTCATCACCTTCTTCTTGTTTTGAATCACTTCTTGTGTACTTGACAAATTTTGCAGAGAGTTCATTAGCCTGCAATAAATAATAAAAGCAGTGCAGTTTAATTTCAGTCCGCAATGCAAGTGCTTTACAAGTGCACTGACTATTAAAAGTCAGTGACACAAAAAAATCAGGTCATGTGAAATCCTTTTTAGAACAATCAACCATTTGATAGTTTCAATAAAGTGCCTAATTATTATTCAAAACCAAAATTAAAATACTCTTTTTTTTATTTATTTAAAAGTTTTTATTTTCTATTTTAAATCACACTAAGTACACTCTTGGTCTCAACAGTTATTATTACTATTAGCAGAAACTACCTGATCTCAGTTATTTTGTACAGTTGTCCACCACTTTGAGATATTAATAAGCCACTTTAGACCGCTCCCTTATTCACTATAGCGGATAACGTGCCATGTTTTGAATGTCAGGGTTTTACACCACTTTTTGCCATTCCTGACACAACCGACTGTCAGACACCGATTTACTTTTGATTGTTTGTCGTCATTTTGATTCAATCTTTGTTGACTTTGCTCAGCAGTGAATTTCTACAGAGAGATTTAAAAAGGGTAAGAGTAGGTTAAAACAAGGAACTGATCACTGTTGTGTGAAGAGGTAAAGGTTCCTACTGCGATGTAAAAAAAAAATAAAAAAAATAAATCATGCTCTACATCAGTGTTTTCCAACCTTTTGGAGCCACGGCACATATTTCACATCAGATAAATCACACGGCACACCACCAAAGAAAAATGTCAAAAAAGCATATTGATAATTTTTCCGTTCACCTGGTATAGCGGAATTGGTTCGGTTTGTCTCCAATATACCTTTTTAGCTTTCTTCTGAAGGCCTTAGTCTTGCTAAGGCCTTCATCTGGGTTGGAATTTTCTCCAGGACCCAGGTCAGTTTGACTACTTTTTCTTTTCAAATATTTATCTATCGTTATCATGTGCTGCGTTGTCTCACTCACAGCATGACTGTTGTATAATTTCTTCTTCTTCTTCTGTTTTACTAGCAGTTGGTAACCCATTTAATTAGAGCAGGTAGTTCCAGGGCACACCTGATCATTTCTCAGAGTGGTTGGGAAACACTGCTCTACATAATGGACCTGGACCAGTCTTGGGATCTGTTAACCACAGTTATTACAAGAACAGATTTTTTTTCTGGATATGTGATCATCTAAATGTGATTATGGGATCTCAGTAAGAACTATTTCGTTGCGATCACTGCATTTCAGTGTTTTGTGTTTTTTAGACTTTTGAATTTATGCTGCATTCTGTTTTCTGAAGTGAGTTATGTTTCTAGATCTTAGTCTTTTGTTAATTTGGTCAGTTATCTTTTTTGTCCAGGTTGTCCTAGTTTCACCTGTGTGCATTTCTGTCATGTAACGGTGTGTGGCAGGCAGGAAAATAGGACCCAAACGCAAACTCACGGGAAAACAGGACTGAACTCAAAATGCAGCTTTAATGCTGACAAAAAGGTGACAAAAGATAACGGTGATACAAAAGCGATACAAAACTAAACTGGGAGATGCTAATTGTAACACATACCAGAAGACACGGGGAGAATCACACACAGCATGAGGGACGACACGACACTGACTCAGAGAAACACGGGGTTTAAATACACTGGGAAGTAACGAGGGGAATGAGACACAGAAGGAGGGCACAGCTGGGAGAAATCAGGACTGACGGGACAAGCAAAGCAGGACGCATTCACATAAGACACGGACCATCAAAGTAAAACAGGAAGTATCACACAGAGACGCGAACTTGACACAGTGGAGACAGCAACTAAGAAACACAGAGACATAAACCATAAGGCAGAGGTCTAAGAACCAAAATACACAGGGAAATACTCATCTGGGAACACAAGAGACTAGACTAGAGGGAGTAACAAAAGACCAACCATGAGAACATAATGCACAATGCAGAGTGACAGAAAACAAGAAACTCAAACATGCAAAGACACCCAATTACACAGAACAGAGGGGACACAGAGAGACATGAAGGGCAAGGGATCAAAACTAGAAACCATAGAATAAATCACACACAAGTACAATAATACAAAAATCCCAAAGAACTAAAAACGCTGGGTCAGGAGACCCAGGACCGTGACAATTTCCCAGCATCCCCAGTGTGTAGTCTCTTATGGCTGTCTGTTATAGTAGTAATATGAGTTTGTCTTACTGATTCACATGTCAACATCTTCCGCCTGGATTGGAGAAATTCTGGAATTTCTTTGAAATATTTGCGGTCCATGAGGTTTTCAAAGGACTTTTCTTTCCATTCTTCTCCATACAGTGTTGACAGCTTTTCAACAGCATCATGATAATCATCATCTTCCTTTTCCTGATTTTTATTATTGTCAAGAAACTGATGAAATGACCACAACTCTTCGTTCCACTCCTACAAAATTAGACGACAAGCCATTTATTGAGGTATGTACCCAACCGTTAACCCCAATAACTGAAGTGTAACACCTATAATAGTTTTAAGTAAAAATCTAACTTTCATAGCTCATTTTACCTCCTTTGTGATGAACTCAATTTCTGCCTCATAGTTTGAGCTGTGTTTGTTAGCTTCCACTTTGATCATGACTGACGTGCATGCATTGATGCTTCCTGAGGGTAAAAGATTCTTCTCTTTGATGATGGCATTTATCAAAGAGCTCTTTCCAGCCCCAGTTTTACCAAAGACACCAACCAGCTCCCTCTTCTTTATCTCCAAATCACTGATCTTTTTCCTGTTGAACAAGATTTTAAATATGGGTTAATTCATTCAGTCATGAAATTTTTTTAGGTATGCTTTAAATAAGAGAGTTTAAAAGAGAGTTATAATCATGGTAGTGATTAACCAATCAATTATCACAATATATTTCAGTTCTATACACTTGTTCCACTAACTGTTTACTGTATGTTGTTTTGATCCACACCTTCTTTTTGTGTCAGTTAAAGTGAAAGTTTCCCCCAAGAATTGGTAAATACCAGGAACAGGAAAAAAAAATACAGGGAGTGCAGAATTATTAGGCAAATGAGTATTTTGTCCACATCATCCTCTTCATGCATGTTGTCTTACTCCAAGCTGTATAGGCTCGAAAACCTACTACCAATTAAGCATATTAGGTGATGTGCATCTCTGTAATGAGAAGGGGTGTGGTCTAATGACATCAACACCCTATATCAGGTGTGCATAATTATTAGGCAACGTCCTTTCCTTTGGCAAAATGGGTCAAAAGAAGGACTTGACAGGCTCAGAAAAGTCAAAAATAGTGAGATATCTTGCAGAGGGATGCAGCAGTCTCAAAATTGCAAAGCTTCTGAAGCGTGATCATCGAACAATCAAGCGTTTCATTCAAAATAGTCAACAGGGTCGCAAGAAGCGTGTGGAAAAACCAAGGCGCAAAATAACTGCCCATGAACTGAGAAAAGTCAAGCGTGCAGCTGCCAAGATGCCACTTGCCACCAGTTTGGCCATATTTCAGAGCTGCAACATCACTGGAATGCCCAAAAGCACAAGGTGTGCAATACTCAGAGACATGGCCAAGGTAAGAAAGGCTGAAAGACGACCACCACTGAACAAGACACACAAGCTGAAACGTCAAGACTGGGCCAAGAAATATCTCAAGACTGGTTTTTCTAAGGTTTTATGGACTGATGAAATGAGAGTGAGTCTTGATGGGCCAGATGGATGGGCCCGTGGCTGGATTGGTAAAGGGCAGAGAGCTCCAGTCCGACTCAGATGCCAGCAAGGTGGAGGTGGAGTACTGGTTTGGGCTGGTATCATCAAAGATGAGCTTGTGGGGCCTTTTCGGGTTGAGGATGGAGTTAAGCTCAACTCCCAGTCCTACTGCCAGTTTCTGGAAGACACCTTCTTCAAGCAGCGGTACAGGAAGAAGTCTGCATCCTTCAAGAAAAACATGATTTTCATGCAGGACAATGCTCCATCACACGCGTTCAAGTACTCCATAGCGTGGCTGGCAAGAAAGGGTATAAAAGAAGAAAAACTAATGACATGGCCTCCTTGTTCACCTGATCTGAACCCCATTGAGAACCTGTGGTCCATCATCAAATGTGAGATTTACAAGGAGGGAAAACAGTACACCTCTCTGAACAGTGTCTGGGAGGCTGTGGTTGCTGCTGCACGCAATGTTGATGGTGAACAGATCAAAACACTGACAGAATCCATGGATGGCAGGCTTTTGAGTGTCCTTGCAAAGAAAGGTGGCTATATTGGTCGCTGATTTGTTTTTGTTTTGTTTTTGAATGTCAGAAATGTATATTTGTGAATGTGAAGATGTTATTTTGGTTTCACTGGTAAAAATAAATAATTGAAATGGGTATATATTTGTTTTTTTGTTTAGTTGCCTAATAATTATGCACAGTAATAGTCACCTGCACACACAGATATCCCCCTAAAATAGCAAAAACTAAAAACTACTTCCAAAAACATTCAGCTTTGATATTAATGTGTTTTTTGGGTTCACTGAGAACATGGTTGTTGTTCAATAATAAAATTATTCCTCAAAAATACAACTTGCCTAATAATTCTGCACTCCCTGCATTGATAAGTCACCAAAACTTCCTAAAAATATCAGTCTTTGTTGGTCTTAACTTGGATAGTTATAGTCTACTATTGAATCATAAATCAATGTATCCTTGTATTTGTCGCTTGCAGTTGCCTGGATTGAAAATTGGAACTTGCTGAACGTACATACAATACACAAACATCACATTGGGGAGACAGGTCAGACTAGGTGGCATAAAGTGAAATGTATAACACAAAAAGGCAATCGAGGAGAAAAAAGAAGAATTGGTAGATACCAGGAACAGGAAAAAAATGTAGCTCAGTCACCAAAACTTTCCAATAAATTTTACTACTGTATTATTTCAGCGTCTATAATTGTACTGTTGTATGTCAGCAAAATATGAAAAAACATAATACTCACTTTAAGAAAGCACTGAGTTTGTCTTGCTCATTTAGTCTGGAATGTACAAATGCCATGATGTTTTTCACATTAGATAGTATGGTTGGTTCTGTGAACAAAAAAGTCAAGAACTATTTAGAAGGAATTATAGACTAGAATAACCAAAAAATTTAAAATTTGATGTTAAAAAAAGCAAACCTGTGTGAATTAGAGTATATCAGGACCATAATGTGACCACTAACCAATCAAACTTACTATACCATGCTGACTGTTAAATTTTGCCAACAGCCCAAAGAAAAAGTAATTTCTAGCATCAAAGATGAAACTGGCATGTTGGACAAATTGTGCTGAACAGAAATTTAACCCTATAGTGGCTTAAACTGTGACATTGTTTAGTAAGAAACGTAAATACCTTCAAATCCTGGCATTGACTGACACTGTCGCTTAGCTGGTGACTGCAACCTGCTAGCATCACTTTCAAGGTCTGATTTTCTTTTTCCTGATTGGATAAAAACAACAACAAAAAATAAGAAAAAAAATGTGTTTCTCTCAGCATTGAAAGTTCTTCTTAGTAAAGTTATGTAGATTGCAAAAAATATTAGTGCCTTTCAAACACAGAATAATATGAGATGCAATAAATATGATGCATGTGTCTCACCTGTATCACTTGTGGCTGGAAAGACCTGAGGATGAATATCAGTTATACAGGAAATTATCACTATTTGCATTGGCATTGTTCTTTAACAAAAGGACACTAACATACAAGTTTTACAATCAACAAACTTAAATGCAGTTATGTTTTATTAACCAGCAGACTGATGAAAATTGAATTACAATAACCTTCTTCTTACTAAATATCTGTGATCCTACTAGACAATTCTTTTACATAATTAGGTCCCAGTCTCAAAGACCTACAGAGACGGTTGGCAAACCCTCTAGCTAGGGCAAAATGTATTTTCCCACCCCCCTTTGAATTATGTCTTTAGATTAGTCATTTATTCGTTTCTGTAGAGAGTTGTCAGTCTCTGTAGACCAGAGAATGGAGCTTTACTTTGTCTCAGGCAGTTGGCTCATATGTCTGAAATTCAGTGTAATCCTTACCTGAACCACATCAGCTGCTTCTTCATGCTCCTGTTCACACTGCAGATAAAAAGTGCAAAGCCGCATAGAGTATTGAGCTCTTAAACATGCATTAAAAATTGTATTTGTCATATGGACATTAAATCTGAAGGAAAAAACAGTTTTAAACTGACTTGAAAAGACATGACTGTTTCCTGATTTGAATTTTGTTCTTACCACAATCAAAACGATTCAAATCTATATTAGTTAAGAATCAATAAAATGACTCTACAAATAATTACTGCCAGTGAGACACTGTTGAACACCCAGTGGTGTTTGTGTAGCTTATCTGCGTAGCCAATTTAATTAAAAACGTATAACTTACTTCAAGGTGTAATCTTCACACACTCTCTGTGTATTTACTCACTAATTACCTGTCCCTCCTGCACTTTCCTGCTCATTGTGTCAGATGTTTAGTTACTCTTCGGCAGGGATGGGTACTGGTTCTGACATAAACGGTAGTAACCAGAAAAGCAGCACACATTTCGGTGCTTTATTTCAGTACTTTTTTTTCTTGAGCTGTCATACAGCTGTCTTCTTGTTTGATAGAGTGATACCATATATGCCCTATAGCTGCAGAAAAGGCTAACATTGTTATCTTTTTACAAAAGAAAAAAAAAACAGCTAAACATGAGAGGTTTTATGACAAAGTTTGTGTTTTCCATTGTTTAAGCACTGGTTCCAACCAAAGGATGTATCTTGTATCAACAGAAAAGGCTAACTTGGTTATCATTTTGCAGAAAAAAAAGAGGAGACTGCTAAAAATAAAAACATAAGAGGTTTTTGGGCAAAGTTTATGTTCTCCATTCTTTAAGCACCGGTTTGAGCACCGGTTTGAGCACCGTTTAAGCACCGGCACCGTTTCAAAAGTACCGGTTTGGCACCGGTATCGGATAAAACCTAAATGATACCCATCCCTACTCCTCAGTCTCCTTTAGCAATAATGAGACTTGCATTAAATGTACCCTATTTACAACTCTGGAGGCCAGGATCACATAATTGTAGACTTTGCTTCGCACCCTTAAAAATCCCATAACTAGCCAGGCTCCTTTAGCCAGTGTAGCTCCCTCTGGCATATTGTCCCGAGCAGTTGGGGAAACAAGATGACTGGGTGACGATGAGGAGAAAGCACAGTATTAAATAGAAGCCCCGTGGCACACCACCAACCCATTCATGTGTCTAAGTGTTTTCCCCCATTTGCAGAAACACCCGCAGGGGCTCAAACTCTGGTAATTGGTGATTCTATTCTAACACATGTGAAGCTAGAGACACCAGCAAAGACAACCAGAACAGTCAACACTGAGGGAAATTTAAAACTGCTGGCTAAGTGTAAACATAAATTGAATAAAATTCTAATTTATGTCGGCAATTATGACACCTGGTTACCTTAATGGGAGATCACTAAAATTAATACTGAATCAGTATGTAACTCTATAGGCAAAAGAATTGAGCTTTATTTTGTCTCAGGCAGTTGGCTCATATGTCTGAAATTCAGTATAATCCTTACCTGAACCACATCAGCTACATCTTCATGCTCCTGTTGACACTGCAGATAAAAAGTGCAAAGCCAAATAAACTGAGCACTTAAACATATACTAAAAATTTTATTTCTCATATAGATACTTCATCTCAAGGCAACAAAACAGTTTGTAACTTACTTGAAAAGAAATGACTGTTTCTTGATTTGTGTTTTTTTCTTCCTAACACAATCAAAACATTGCAAATCCATATTAGTAAAGAGTTAACAAAAATTACACTACATAATATTGCTGCCAGCACATTTTTTAATATCCAGGTAACTCTAATAGAAATTCACCTCTGTACACTAAAACAACAATGATTGTTTTAAAAAAAAAGGTAATTACCTTTAACAGCTTGAGGTTCTTCTTGAATTTCACTCTTGGTCCAGCTTTTGTGATCAAATTATTAATTTCTTGATCATCAAGCTCACACAGACTTTCAGAATCGATTTGTTCATCTGTAATTTAAAAAGAATTTGCAGAGATAAAGTTTATTCTCAACTTTCTTCAGAAATTCTTCGTAAATGATTGAAAAAGCTATGGGCACAGATCTATGAGCTGTTTTACAGTTAACAGATCACATCAGGATCAATATCTGTACCCATCACAGATTCACATTAATACTTTACCTTTAAATTTTTCCACCCACTCACTTAGCCCCCATTCAACCAGTTTGGTTCTTACGAAATCATCCATGACCAAGAAATGAAACTGTAAGATAAAATGCAATATTTAACCAGACAGTACTGCTTTAAAGATTAGATATTTGTGACCAACTTCTCCTTTAATCCATATATACTCAGAGACACTGATTAAATTCAGATTAAAACTTCAAACTGCTCACCTTTTGTTTGAGTAATGCAGGAAAAGGCTGCTGAGGGAGATCTGAGGGAAGCAGTGAGACACAAACAGGAAACAGAAAAAAGAAATCGAGCACAAAGTCCACAAACGGATACGGTTAAAATCAAACTGTAACTGTGTGGCTTAGACTGCACAACTGTCTGCAACTGCATTTATACATAAAATAGAAAGGTAAATCCAACATGACTAAAGCGGGTGCAGGAAAAATAGAACTGAGAACTGAGAAAAGCAGGAAGAGGTGTTTGTGCAGCGTAGATGGGAGTGGCTGGCAGACAGGTAACAACCTGCCTCAGAGAAAGTGTTTGTTTTTTTAGTTTGTTTAAAATAAATCAAAGGGATTAAATATTATAGTTTAAAAACAAGACAGAAACAGCTTTATGTATACTTAAAGTATACTCAAGTTGCCAAACTACATTAAGGTAGTTAGAGTAAAAATATCACCATAGGTTTTTTTTTAATATGCTGCCACGTGTGTACATTATTATTATTATTATTTATCCCCACATGCCTCCTCCATTGCCTGTAAAAGGGATATGCGTTGATGGGGATGACTGTCATAGACCTTCCAGCTCCAGGCAGAGAAGAACTCTTCAATTGGATTCAAGAATGGAGAGTATGGGGGGAGGTTGAGTACAGTGAAGAGTGGGTGATCTGTAAACCAGTTGCGGACCAAAGCAGCCCTATGGAAACTAACATTGTCCCATATAATGACGTATCTGGTCTGCTCTGGTCTCTGAACATTAGTGAACATGTCAAAGGTGTCCAGGAATGTAATAATGTGTGCACTGTTATATGGGCCCAGGGTTGCATTATGGTGAACAACACCATTTTGACTTATAGCTGCACACATAGTTATGTTACCACCACGTTGTCCTGGGACATTGATTATGGCACGGTGTCCAATGATGTTCCTTCCGAGTCTCCTCGTCTTAGTGAAGTGAAAACCAGCCTCATCCACAACAAATTGCTCATGACCCATCTGCCTCTGCAGATGGGTCATGAGCAAGACATGAGCAAGACAAAACAAACAGCAGGCACATGCACAGCACTACAGTATGCACTTCCAGATTCAGTACCAATGATACTATAGCTTACCTGCACATAGTCATATTGCAGCTGTTTTACACGTTCACTGTTTCTTTCCAAAGGTGTTCTGTAGATTTGTTTCATTCGGATTTTGTTGCGGGCAAGTACACAACCTAATAGAGAAGTGCTCACATTTTGTATGTTCTGGAAGGTGGTGTCATCCTCAATTAGGCACTGCTGAATTTCACGTAGCCTTATGGAATTATTTGCAGTCACCATATTGACTATATGGGTTTATTGGTCTGCAGTGAACATTCTTCCTCTGCCCCTAGCATCTGGTCAGCTAGCAATTCTGTAAAGTAACAGTTTCAGTATTTTTACATCTGTGGTATTGTTGTGTTCCTCATTAGCATATGGCAGTGCTACAAGTCTTAGTGCAAAGTGACTGTACTAACCGATTCTCATTTCGAAATATCCTTATGATGCTTGCTACAGTGTAGCGGCTCAAGTTAGGCTGAACCCGTTGGCCAGCTTCACTCAGGGTCATTCCATGGTTGATTACATGGTCCACTATTGTAGCTCTGATGTTACCAGCAATTCTATTTCTTACTCTTCTTACCCTTCCTCTTCCCCCTCCTCTTGCTCCTCTTGCTCCTTCTTGTCCTCTTGCTCTAACTTCACCTCCTTGTCCTTGTCATCCTCTTTGTCCTACTTCTTCACCTCCACGTCCTCTTCCTCGGCCTCCTCTAATTCTCACTCTTCTCACTCTTCCTGCTCCCTCCATTGTACTCCACAGCTTACCTGTACCTTATTTATAGTGCTTAGGCTGATTGCAAAGTGAACTAATTATCTAAAACTGTTTTCACACGTGACAGTGTGTCAGACAGTTGGCAAAATAGTGTAAATAATAGCCATAAATGTGTATAGTTTTGCTAGGAGTGTGTTGATCATTTGGAAATTGAGTGTAAAGCAGTGAGTTGTGTTTACAGTTCTGCAAAAAGAGTGCTGTGCAGTGGATTGTACCTACAGTTTTGCCAGGTGTGTGTTACAAAATGGCAAACTGAGTGCAAAGCAGTGTTTGTGCTTTTAGTTTTGCAAACTCAGTGAGTGGTTTTGCTATAAGTATTAAGAGTTTTCGAAATTGTGCTATAACAATCGCAGTTAGAGTTTAAGCATTCAGAAAAAACTGTAACCTCTGTCTCTCTTCCACAGCATGTCTTTATCCTGTCTTCCTTCCTTCTCTCACCCCAACCGGTCACAGCAGATGGCCGCCCCTCCCTGAGCTTGGCTCTGCCAGAGGTTTCTTCCTGTTAAAAGAGAGTTTTTCCATCCCACTGTTGCCAAAGTGCTTGCTCATAGAGGGTCATATGATTGATGGGTTTTTCTCTGTATCTATTATTGTACGATCTACTGTACAATATAAAGCGCCATGAGGTGACTGTTGTTGTGATTTGGAGCTATATAAATAAAATTGAATTGAATTGAATTGAACTATACTGAGACTTTTTTGACAAATAAAAAAAAGTTTTACATGTATTTTCCAAAGAAAAGCTGGATATTTAAAAAAAAATTTTCAAATTAACCTTTACTTTTTGTGAAATGTGAAAGTTAAAATTCAACTTCTAGAGAAGCTTGAATATATTAGCTTTGCTACTTGTTTTTTAATATTGATGCTAAAACAAGAAACAATTTGGTGAATGCAAATGTTCCTGCACATTTTGGGAAGATTAGCATTATGTAGATTTGTGTATGAAAACATGTAAATAGAAAGGTAGTAAGATTTGATCTTTAGTTCAGTTTCATTTTCTTTTTATCAGAAACTAAAAATCACTCAGTTTTGTTGTTGTGCTCTTTCATTAAGAACATGACACTTTTTGCTTCCAGCAGCCTTTTTGACCTTGCTTTATGTGTGACTGCCCAGAGTAGTTATTTGTCTGTTATCTTGAAAGGGTTAGTTTTGTGGCATATTTTATATGTTTATTCTTCACAGAGTTAAATATAAGCATCATTTGACAGTGCATATCTATCTAAGCAGCTTTGGAAGAAGGATAGTTGTTCTATTTTGCCAACAATGTGTGTTTTTCTTGAAATAAGTACATGAGAATAATCTGAGTATGTTCAAACAGCACCTCTGTTTGTCACAAAAGTCATTGTTACTGTTGTAAGTGGTTTTACTTTTTCTTCTTGATTATTATTATTTCATATAGTCATTTTGCAAAGTTTTTTGTTTCTTTTTCTACTTAACCCCTTTAACTCATTTGAACTTTGCCATACAGACAACAATGATCCAGCCATTCTCGTCAGCCCTCCCTGCTTTTCTCATTCCCTGATCAGTGTCTGTACATGTGCAGGTCAGGTTTTACTTGCTTTCTGACAGACAGTCTTTTGCTCCAATAGAACCATTCATGTCTAGCTTCTTTTTAAAAAAAAAAATCTGAATCTGTTTTTCTTTAATCATGCTGGTTGTTGCACTTCTCCTTTTGCCTGCTAATTTCATCCTCCATAACTGACCATTTTCGGCATGACCAAACAGCTGAGTACACTAACAAAATTGAAGTTCTGATCAATCTGTGCATCTATGTAACTGCTCTACTCGTTCAATTTCAGCTGAAAGGCCTAATTTATAAAGTAGGAGTGGTTTATCTGAAATTTCAATTCATCTTTCAGTTTTGAATCTTGGTCATGGATGATTTTGTGCAAAGAAAACTGACTGAATGGAAACTAAGTGAAAGGATAGTGACATTTGAAAGTAAATCATTACATTTGTTTTGTTTAACATATTTCATTTATTGTGGGTACATATATTGATACTTTTATGTAATATTAACCATGAAACAGAGCTTTTCTCTTGCTTTTCTCATTTGGTGTAAAAACTCTTAGCAGTTTGTTTAAAACACAGAGAATTAAAATGCATTCAATTTATACACCAATGCAGAACTCCTTTAAAAAGGTATTTCTGAACTAATTTTATGAATAATCCTTATTCCTACTAAATAGTAGGAATAGTCTTAATAGTCTGTATCATCTTGATGATCAGGAAATCGACAAATTGATCACAAGAGCTGGACCTAGAGTGATATTAATTAATTAAATGCTTTAACATTTGCTACCTTTCTTCTGAAAAATGTCACTTACAGGTGAATTTGTTTTAGAACTATTATGGTGCGCTAATAGTTGAACGAAAACGACACACTCCGCCACAAACGAAAATAGTGATTTTCGTTTGCGGTGGGGTGTGGTTTGTGGTTTAGCACCAGTTGAGGGGTGGAGCAGCGAGTTCAGGTGACAGCGGCAAGGGAGGCTGGGAGAAAGAGCTGATACCTGTCACGCTGATTACATTTCTCCCTATTTTAGGAACTGCTGGGGCCCGGAGAGCTGAGAGCGAAGTGAGAGAGCTGTAGCAGTGAGAGTTGGAGTGTGTGAAACGAGTGGCTTTGAGTTGAGAATTGAATAAAGAGGATTATTGAAACGTGACGCAGAACTGTCTCCTTGTGTGTGCGCGCGTCGTAACGGGGATCAGTAACAGAGTGTTACAGTGGCGCCCAGCTTGCCGCTACGATATGTCAAACCCACAGAACCTCCAGTCAGCTCAGATACTGGTTCAAATGATGGCCGAATTGGCGACCTTGCAGCAGCAGCAGGCGGTAGTATACCGGCGTCATCTGGAAGACCTGCAGGCCCAGACTGAGCAGCAGACACGGGTGCTACAAAACTTTTTGGCTCAGTTTGGGGCTGCTGCGAATCTGCCCCATCTAGACCGGCTGAAACTCTCCTCACAAGACCAACGTTGCCGGTTCTGTGGTTGCCGCATGGGAGCAAGATCGCCGGCAGGGGAGGTGAGCGTCCGTCAAAGAGTGTTTTTCAATGTTTTTTTTTAATGTTTTTTTTACGTCTAGTATATTTACTTGAATCAGTAATTACACTTTAGTCAACAGGGTTTATGAAGGGGTTATGTATATCAAATAAAGAAATTATCTGTTTTCTTAGTATCTTTATGACTTTATGCGTATTTTTACCCATATTGTCATCAATCCAGTTCTTTTTATATATATATATATATATAGAACTGTGATGTTATAGTTGTTATATTTGCTGCTTTTGGCTAGCTCTCTCCTGGAAAAAACACTTCAATTGTCCTTTACTTTTTATCCAGATAAATAAAGGATATATAACATTTAATTTGCCAAAAATTGACGACAGCAGCTACTTTGTGATAGGAATGATCTCTAAATCACTTGATGTTCTTCGTGAGATATATGATTGACCTGTTTTTGACAGATTTTAATGTCATTTAAAATCTGTCACCGAATTTATAACAGCTTAAATTCCGTGCCAAGGTAGGTTCCCCCTGCGTTGGAAGGACACATTCTTGATATTTAGTTCTGAAACTCTTCTAATAATGACTTATGGCTCCTGAAATTTCGGAGGTTTTAGCTGTCTACAATTACACAAGGATACAAATAATTATCAGTCAAAATGTCCTTGGTTTATTGAAATATAACACCTGAGAACAATAAATGTATCATTTTCTGTTGTAACCGACAAACTGAACGGTAATGTAATGACACTCATTTTTCACTTTTTCACTAAAACTGTTCATCCACGTCTAAGTTGGTTGTAATGGAGGCGGAATCAGTTGGATCCGCTCTCCCTGCCCAGCGAACGCTCCCGATGCAAGGGAAACAAATTCTGTCGGGGATACCTACCTTGGTAAAACAAGTGAAACCTGCAGTCAGCTGAGACTGAAGAAGTCACTTGGATGAGTGACGAAACGTTTCTCCAACTAAAAACAATGAACTTTTCGGGATACCAGTTTCGGTTTCTTTGTTACTCCTGGATTCATCAAAAAGGCAACCTGGCCCTCAGGGTAAATGCCGCTGCTTTAAACAGTCATAACAACATTTACTGTAATCGAAACAAACATCCAGAATATATCATGGCTCAGATTTGATTGAATGTAATTACCCTTTAGTGTTAACTGTGAAAGGGATACTGTACAGTTACTATACTTAAACTACAAGTAGAAGTGATAGCGACTTATCATTTTATTATTTCTGTCCTTGGTTTTAATTAATAATCCAAAGGAAAAAAAATCCCCCCCAAACACTTAAAAGTCATGAAAATTCATTTAGATTTAGCAATTTGATGATTCATCCACCTTAAGCATTATTTAAAGTAATGCAATAGTTACTTTTCCAAGTAATAACTTACTTTTATAATATTGTAACCCAGATACTAATTAAATACTTTTTTTGAAGAAGTAACTATAACTAATTACCTTTTCAAAGCATTTTGCCCAATACTGGTAACAATATTTAGCATATTTTTTTTTAATTCTGTACTAATATAGATTTGAATTGTTTTGATTGTGGTAGGGAGAACAAAACTCAAACCAGGAAACAGTCATTCCTTTTCAAGTAAGTTAAAAATTGTTTTGTTTCCTTGAGATTTAGTATCTATATGACAAATACAATTTCAATACATGTTTAAGTGCTCAGTGTTGTATTCGGCTTTGCACTTTTTATCTGCAGTGTAAACAGGAACATGAACAAGCAGCTGGTTTGGTTAAGGTAAGGGTTATACTGAATTTCAGACATATGAGCCAATACCTGAGACAAAGTAAAGCTCCATTCTCTGGTCTACAGAGACTGACCACTCTCTACGGAAACCAATAAATGACTGAATCTAAAAACTTAATTCATAGGGGGTTGGTGAATATACATTTTGCCCTAGCTAGGGGGTTCGCCAACCGTCTCTGTAGGTCTTTGGGACCGGGACTTAATTATGTAAAAGAATTGTCTTGTAGAATCACAGATGTTTACTAAGAAAAAGGTCATTTATAATGTATTCTTCACCAATCTTCTGGTTGAAAACATAACTGCATTTAGGTTTGTTGATTGTAAAACTTGTACGTTAATGTCCTTCAAATTTTGTTAAAGAACAATGCCAATGCAAGTGATAATTTCCTGTATAACTCATATTCATCCTCAGGTCTTGCCATCCACAAGTGATACAGGTGAGACACATGCATCGTATTTATTGCATCTCATATTATTCTGTGTTTGCAAAAAATATTGATGCCTTTCAATCTACATAACTTTACTAAGAATAACTTTCAATGCTAAGAGAAATGTGTTTTTTGTTCTTATTTTTTTTGTTGTTTTCATCCAATCAGGAAAGAGAAAATCAGACCTTCAAAGTGACCCCAGCAGGTTGCAGTCACCAGCTAAGCGACAGCGTCTGTCTATGCCAGGATTTGAAGGTATTTATGTTTCTTTCTAAACAGTGTCACAGTTTAAGCCAGCACAATTTGTCCAACATCATCTTTGATGCTAGAAATTACTTTTTCTTTGGGCTGTTGTCAAAATTTAACAGTCACATGATGCATGGTATACTAAGTTTGATTGGTAAGTGGTCACATTATGCTCCTGATATACTTTGATTCACACAGTTTTGTTTGTATTTTTAAAATGAGATTTTACATTTTCTGTTTATTCTAGTCTATAATTCCTTCCAAATAGTTCTTTACTTTTATGTCCACAGAAGCAATCATATTTTCTGATGTGAAAAGCATCATGAAATTTGTACATTCCAGACTAAATGACCAAGACAAACTCAGTGCTTTCTTAAAGTGAGTATTTTTCTTTTCATATTTTGTAATGAATGGGCCTGGTTCCACTCCTGTTCATGTGACAGTTTCACAAACAGATCAAAGACAGATTGTTTTTAAAGATAGCAAAAATGTCTATAAAACATCCTCAGAAGCTACTAGTTATGTGTAATTTAATCCAATTAAACTTTATGAATGTCACAATGGTTACACCAAGATACAGTCACAGGAATGAATAACCACATCGATGAGGCTTTAGAGTCACCAATTAACCTAAATGTACTAATTGCACGTATTTGGACTGTTGGAGAAAGCCAGAGTACCTGCAGAGAACCGAGGCAAACATGGAGAGAACACGTAAACTCAAAACAAAAAGGCCCCCGATAGTGGTGTGAGACAACAGTGCCAAACATCAAGTCATCGTGTTGCCTGTACATGAACCCTTTTGATTCAATATTCACCAATTTGTTTCTTGTGTCAGTCTGTTTGACGTGTCGGTTCTTTGTTTAGTTTTTTCACGTTATACTTTTGACTTACAGCTGTACAGTTATAGTTGACGGAATGATTCAGTAGTAAAACAAACCATCCAAACTAAGACCAACAAAGACTGATATTTTTAGGAAGTTTTGGTGACTTAACTACATTTTCTGCTGTACCTGGCATCTACCAACTCTTTGGGAAAACATTTTCAGTTTAGGTGACACAAAAAGGAAGGTGTGGATCAAAACAACATACAGTAAACAATTGGTGGCACAAGTGTATAAAACTGAAATATGTAGTGATAATTCATTTGATAATAACTACCATTATTACCATTGTAACTGTCTTTTAAACTGTTTTTTTTTAATGCATGCTTAAAATGTTATCATGACTGAACCATTTAACCCATATTTAAAATCTCGTTCAACAGGAAAAAGATCAGTGATTTGGAGACAGACAAGAGGGAGCTGGTTGGTGTCTTTGGTAAAACTGGGGCTGGAAAGAGCTCTTTGATAAATGCCATCATCAAAGAGAAGAATCTTTTACCCTCAGGAAGTGTCAATGCCTGCACCTCAGTCATGATCAAAGTGGAAGCTAACACACGTAGCTCAAAGTATGAAGCAGAAATTGAGTTCATCACAAAAGAGGTAAAATGAATTCCCAAAGTTAGATTTGTACTTTAAGCAAAATCATGTGTTACAGTCCAGTTCTTGGGGCATAGGGTTGGGTACATGCCTCAATAAATGGCATGTCATCTATTTTTGTAGGAGTGGCGTGATGAGTTGTGGTCATTTCGTCAGTTTCTTGACAATAATAAAAATCAGGAAAAGGAAGATGATGATTATCATGATGCTGTTGAAAAGCTGTCAGCACTTTATGGACAAGAATGGAGAAGATCCTTTGAAAATCCCATGGACAGCAAATATTTCAAAGAAATTCCAGAATTTCTCCAATCCAGGCGGAAGATGTTGACATATGAATCAGTAAGACAAAAACTCTCATATTACTTTATAGGAAGCATTCTTGCAAGTGTTGCACTGTGAGCGTCAGCACTGAACAACTCCGCTGTGTTCCAGACTGACTATAACAGACAGCCATGATAGACTAAATACTGGGGATGCTGTCCTAGTTTCACCTGTGGTCTTCACAGGTGAAACTAGGACAACCTGGACAAAAAAGTGAACTGAAGAAATTAACAAAAAACTAAGAAGTAGAAACATAACTCATTTCTGAAAAAATAATTCAGCATAGATTCAAAAGTCCAAAAAACAAAACACACTAAAAATAAGATCCAGTGATTACAACAAAACAGATCCTACTGAGATCCCACAATGACATTTAGATGATCACATCTAAATGATCACATCTAAATGAAGAAAAAACTTATCTGCTCTTGTAATAACTGTGGTTAACAGGATCCAAGACTGGTCCAGGTATTATGTAGAGCATTATTTTTTATTTATTTATTTTTTTTAAATCGCAGTATAAACCCTTACCTCTTCACACAACAGATTCCTATTTTAATCAACTCTTACCTGTTTTAATATGCCTGGTTTTAAATTCACTGCTGAGCAAAGTTAGCAAAGACTCATTCAAAGTGGCCATAAACTTTAGTGAATCACTGTCTGATAGTCAATTGCATCAAGAATGGCATAAAGTGGTGTAAAACCCTGACAGTCAAAACATGCCAAGTGATCCACAGTAGTGACCCCTTGTAAATAAGGGAACAGCCTAAAGTAGCTTATTAATGTCTCAAAGTGGTGGACAACTGTGCAAAATGCCCACATGAAGTAGTTTCTGCTAACAGTAATACTAGCTGTTGAAACCAAAACAAAATGTCCACAAAAAACACTGGAGCACAGGGAGCAGTTCAGAATCACCTCAGGGGTCAGCAGCACAAAGGTCCATAAATCAAAGGTTCAGGGGGCCGTCTCAGAAGCCAACATCACAGAACTCCCAAAATCCAGAAGTTCAGGGGGCCGACTGTGTGGAAAGCAGCAGCGGCATGGAAACAGTTCCGGAGCTTGACCGCGTGGAAGGTAGCAGCGGCGACAGAGCAGGTCCCAAGGCCGGCCAAGTGAAAGATGGTGGCAGTGACTGAGTTCAGAAAGCTGTCCATGACAAGGAAGAAATCTAGCCAGTGGCCTGGAATGTGGCCAGCGACAGCAAGGTGGTGCAGGCTGAGTTGTATCAGACGCAACAGCAGGAGCAGGTGGCGGTGCAGCAGGCAACAGAGTAGAAGCTGCTGATGCCAGCACTAATGGCTGGACAGGCTCCTCAGACCCTCCAGCTGATATGACGTGATGCTGGCTGGGTTCTCCTTACCCCCCAGCTAGAACAGATGAAAGGCCAGATGGTACAGAAACCCCTGGCTGAGACGAAGCTATCTGGAGCTGCGTTAGACAGCCAGCCAGCTCGGGTTGCCTGTCAGGCTGCAGCAACACATAGTCCATTGAGGGCAGGATGAGCTTGCCTGTGCCGTCGGTGGGGGCTGCTGTAGAGTGTGTGGACAGCTCGCACAAGCTCTCAGCAGAGACAGGAGGCTGAGACAACCCAGCAGAGCACTCAGTGAAAGCTGCTGTGGACCGTTGGGGAGGCTCGAACAGGCTCTCAGCAAAAACAGAAAACTGAGACGCCTGGCAGAGCTCCCAGGGGAAGCAGCAGAGGGAGGCTGAGAGGATTCAGAGCTCTCAGCAGATGAGGGCGGTGGTTGAACAGGTGGCTGAGTAATTGACTTCACTGGTGACTGAGCTAATGAGTTACCTGGAAACAGAGCTAATGTCTGATGCCGAGAACTGAACAGGTAACAGGGCTGGTGACAACACTGGAGCCTGAACTGGTGGCAAAGCAAGTGAATGAGCTAATAACTGAGCTACTGACTGAACTATGGACTGCAGTAGAGGTTGTAGCGGTTGTAGTAATGATGGTGTAGGTTTGCTTACAATAACCAGTCCGTTGTAACTGTATGCCAGGTGTTAATTAGCAGCCAACATGAACGTTCGCACACAGGTAACAGGAAGCACTGCCATAGCCAAGTTAGAACCACAGCAACATCTCCTGGAAACCTCCGTAACTGCAGCAACGGCAGGCAGTATGGACAAACATAACGTAACTGTTATCTACAGATGGTAGTGATGGTGGTTGTAATGGTGGCTGAGCTAAGCCTTCTGAGCCTTAAGAACACAAGGAAAACAGCTGGACGGGCTCAATTGAGCTTCCAGCGGAGACAGGAATGGGTGCAGGCACCTTCTGAACACTAGCCGCTCCCACCCGAGGATTAGGTACAGGTGTGGAGACAGACTGTGCCCTGGCAGTATGGGCTCAAATTGTGGTCATAAATATTTTGCACTTGTAAATCAGTTTTGTATTTGTAAATCAGGATTTGTATGTGTAAAAAGAATTTGTGTGAGTGCAAAAAAGATTTGTGTGAGAAAAAATACGTGTGAAACTCTACACTCAAGTTTCAAGTTACAAGTATGAATTTTGACCCTATTTTTCTTCCTTTCATCTGATTGGCCAATGTCATGTCAATCACAAATTTAACAATCCAATCAGAGAACAGATGGGTTTGGCTATTGGAAGGGTGCTGCCCTCACCCGAGGAACTGGTACAGGTGAAGGAAAGGCCGGGCCCTAGCTGCCCTGGGCACAGAGACTGGAGGCAGAGGAGGTGGCGCAGAAAACACTGACACATTCAATATAAGCTAGACTTTTCTACCACCACAAATCATAGTGTTTGAAATTACAGTGTCTGAGTTCACACGACAAGGCTTGGAAAACACTGATTCACCAAAGATGGATTCAAAATTCTTTCTGCCATGAAAAAAATTATTTGAAACAACAGTCTTTGATTTATTGTTGTTAACAGTCTTAAATCTTACAATAAACTATGACCAAATATGGAGTGGGTAACACAGATAACACGACAAAGGGTGACAGAGGACTTAAATACATACATGACGTGATCAGGGGAAGTGGTGACACATGAGGACACAGCTTACCTGAATGAAACATAATGACAACACAGGAGAGGATAACACTGGACACTCTAACATGAGACATGGACCTTCAAAGTAAAACAGGAAACATGACAGGCACAGACTAGACACTGAACTCAAACTAAGAACAAAACTCTTAACCAGAATAACACTGGATAACAGGATTATAATGTTCAAAACAGGACAACTAATGAATCAGAAAATAAACCATAATGTGGAAAAAACACCAAAACACAAGAAACTGAAAATGCTGGGTCAAAATGACCCAGAACCATGACACGATGTAATAATTTAAATTTGAGATTAAAAACGAATGACTCAACTTTTAGTGATCAAATTTCCTTAAGCTTTTTACTTTTGTTTTTTATTGCAGGCTAATGAACTTTCTGCACAATTTGTCAAGTACACAAGAAGTGAGTCAAAACAAGGAGAAGGTGATGAAGGAAAAAAGTGGTTTTGGCCACTAGTGAAGTGTGTGACTGTCAGGGTGCCAAACAATCCTTTTCTCCAGCATGTCACACTTGTGGACCTTCCTGGAAATGGTGACTGTAACAAGAGCAGAGATCAGATGTGGAAAGGGGTAATTCATATCTACTGCTCTTTGCTTATACTGTGTTGTCTGTAAACAGTCATCTTTCAATGAAGCACTGAGACATGTTATTCTCCTTTCAGATTGTTGGAGATTGTTCTACTGTGTGGATTGTGACTGAAATTAACCGAGCAGCATCAGAGAAAGAGGCCTGGGAGATCCTGGAAAGTGTCAGTAGTCTGATTGGAAATGGTGGCAAATGTCAGCAAATTCATTTTATCTGCAACAAGTCTGATCTTCTTGATGATTCTGATGATCTGTAAGTAAATTTTGCATACTGACCAACTACAGGGTGTTTCCATGTAAGATAAACCCAGGCTAGACAAAGAATGAAGCACAGGGTTGAGCCTTTGTTGTAATGAATGCAGAACATTTGGCTCAAAGGGAGTCTCATAGGCAGTTACAGTTTTATAAAGTTGAAGATGGTGGACTGAGTAATGAACAGAGAATTTCCTGGCCAGAGTAGAATAGCGGATAATGGGACAGGCAGTGGAATTTTTTAGTTCTAGAGGGACAGCAAGAGAGAAGAGGGTGAGCAATAACAGGAGAGCAGGAGGAGAAAGTGATGCAAATGACATTATGGCAGCTTTAATGTATGTTGCACATAATGTATGATATTATTGGAAATCATGCATATCCTGGTCCTTACAGTCGAGTAATTCAAGAATTCTACATTGTAAAGAATAAGTAGCATTACACTGTCCTTCAGCAACAAAGTTAAAGTAGTTGCTGTGACAAAAAAAAAAACATTTCTATGTAAGCATGTCAGCGTGTTGATGTCACGATCCAAATAAAACATGCTGGCCTTTCTCCGAGTGCTTTACGAATAAATGCTACCAATCTCCCATATTTGGAAGTTGTTTGTTTTTTTAAAGAGAAATGCATTAAACAATTAAAGTCATTTTATCATAAATGACTGGACCTGCAAGGCAGACTCGCACAACTGAAACTTAAGAGGTTTAATTACAATGAAAAAATATATAAAATGAACTGGTGTATTAGCGAGAGTATCCAATAACTCGCAGGGACGAAACAAAATCAAATGTTTTTAGAGAAATTAGGAGTTCTTCTTACTATGTTTACAAACACGGCTAAGAGGGAGTCTGTAGTGAACAGGTAAGTATTTTGGTAAGAGACTCTGACAACCCAGGGTAGTAAGTAGGAGCATGAGAGGATATTAACCAGACTACACATTTAAGACTAGAATGCAACAAACTGGAGTACCAGCACCATCAGGCAGAGAAACATTGCCACAGCCAGTCTTTAAATACGATCTACGTGTTAACAATGAGTGGCAGGTGTGCAGCAGTCAGGGAAAGCTCAGCTTGGTAAGAAAGGGAGATTTTACACATTTCACCAAAAAAGGCCAAGAATAAAACAAAACCATCCAGCCTGCCCCAGATTAATGATGGTGATGATAATAGTGATGATGGTAACAGTACATATTTGCACATTTCTTGTAGTTCATCAGCTGATATCCATGATCGAATAGTTAAAAGAAACATTCAAGCCAAGGATGGAGTAAGGAAAGAATTCAACAAACGAAGCAAGATTAAGGTGAGTTTTATAGGCTGACAGAAAATAATACAGACTCTCCACAGTTGCAAGGATGCTTTAAAATTAAATCATTTTTCCGCAGAAACATTTCCATGATGACAGTTTCAGAGTGTTCACAGTGAGCTCCAAAGAGTTCCTAAAAGGGAAGCATCTAAGTCCAGAAGAAACTGGTAGGTGAAGTCTCAGTGCACATGTTGTTTTAGTTTGCTCTGACTGAAAGAAGAATTATTTATTTTGAATTATAGTACGTAATGTTAAACTGTGGCACTGAAATTTCTTAACAGAAATAACCAAACTTCAGGGATTTTTGCAAGAGCTCAATGACTGTCACTCTGAGACAATAAACTATGTTAATGGAGCTTATGGGATTCTGTCTTTGATTCAAGGAGCCAACTCCAGAGGAGTGGTAAAGTCAAGTAAAAAGATACACAACAACATTCGCTTACATGTTGGCATTTTTCATTTGTCTTTGTGTTTACAATTCTGTTTTTTGTTTATTTATTAATTTATGAGTTATTAAGTGATCGATTGATTCATGTATTTTTGCTGTTCTATTTTACTTCTCAGGTTCATTATTCAAGGAGAGTGACTTTTAAAACCATGTGAAGTTCATAAATCTATAAGAAACGACAAGTATTTTTTATGGTTTTATCCCTTCAAATATTTTTCAGGGTGATAAAAAAGGCAGGATTTGTGCAAAACTTGAGATAATCATGATCCTCCAACTTGATAATGTCAGAAAAGAAATGGAAAAGACCTTTCTGGCTTTCGAAAAATGTCTTGCTGATGGCGTTGAGAAATCCAAACGTTCATATGGAGAAAAACTCAAGAATTTGTTGTATCAAGTATGTATTTTAACTCTAGTTGTAACAAAAAACACATTTTACACAAATATATATTTAAATAATTGTTTTGTGTTCCAGGGAAGGAACAGTGGTTTTTGTGGGGTACTGAAGCAGGTTGTTGAGAATGGTGGTGTCTACAAACCAAAAAAAGGGAAGCTAATTAACCTTAACATGAAGTTGGCTTCATGTCTGACTGACAGCATTGATGAAGAATTCAGAAAGACCTTCCTGTAATAAAAAAAAAAAAGTTCTAAACAGTCACATAATATTATCCAAAATATTTAATTTATTACATACCACGTTTTTAACATAATGATTATAAAATTGCCACTTCTTTCATTATTAACCAAATTTTTTACATGTTTTAGAAATGACTCAGAATGTGGAGCATTCAATGGAGTCATCAAGACATTTTCACTTAACACTGATTCTCTGATTGAAAAGTACAAAAATACTGAACTGCAGCTCAGATTTCTCAAGACAGAGGTAAGAGATGAAACTTTCCTATACATCAATTCAAACAGTAAAGTACAGTAAAATAAAACATGAAAAAGTTAATATTAGTTTTGTGAATTGTGATTTAAAATGATGTTGATCCATATTTCATGTTTTGTCTCTAAGGAAGAAAAAATGAAGGCAAAACTGAACAGAATCATCCGGAAACAGAAGAAAAAAGTCTACAGCAGTCTGACAGAGACAATTGAGAACATTATGGAAGAAGGCTACTGCAGTAAGAGATAAGATCAGAGATTCAATACATGGCACTAAAACGCATATTTATGTTCATCATTATTCGGCATGAGAAATTTGAAGCTTTCTGTCTTATTGTAGAGGCTGCAGAATTTAAAGGAGAAGGCATGCTGTACTGCATGAGGGAGACTATTAAGAACCATGTGCACTCAAAGAAGGACATGTTTGAGCAGGCAAAAAATACCATGTTGGAGAAGTTGCACGATTTGATGGTTTGTCATGTTTTATGAAGAAATATCATGACCGTATTTTGTTTTAGCTCACCCAAAGGCTTTTTCTATGTTCAACTGGATTAGACTTATACAAAAATTTATGTTTCCATTTATATTTTTAATCCAGTCTGAAAAAATTCTAAATGTCATTGTATTTGACTTTAACACATTTTTATCTGTGATAAGTAATTCATTTTTTAAAAATAGGAAAACATCCTGGACATTCTGGAGAAAACTACGAAGGAATCCATTAAATGTTCATTCAAAACTGATGGGAGCTTACTTCCAGGTAAACAGGCTAGTTTGCTGTAATTATATTCCTTTTCTCTTTATCTGTGCAATCTTCTACCTGATACCACTGCGGTTTTACCTATTTGTCTATCTATTTTTTAAAATTAACTTATAAATTACCGAGTCACACACATAATTATGTGAAACACTCTGGGGGGAAACAATTCAAAAAGTGTTTTGTTTTTCAGATGTTTCAACAGAGCTTGATATGGTGAAGAAACATTATGATCAACTTGCAGGCACTCCAGATGATGAAGTGTCCCTTACTGGGTAACTCCTAATATGTTATCAATGTTATTATAATAAATATTTTTAAAATTTTTTGTCCTTAACAGTGTTAACATTTATGTTAAGTAAATATGTTGATCAGCATAGGCTACAATGGGTCCATTTTAGGGGAATCTGCAATTTAACATTTAACCCTTTAAGACCTACCATAGAACCAAGTCCGCCAGAGCTTATAATATATTTTTACATGGTGTGGAGCCATTTTTGGGAGCATTTCAAGTTGCTATACATCAATACAACAATTATAGCCCAGATTTTTATAATATGTATTCATTAAGTGCATAGTAATTACATAAATTGCAAAAAAGTGCAATAAACTACAAAAAAATTGAAAATCGTTTTTGCTTTTTTTAACATATATTTCTAGTTAGAGAAATTTAAGAGGCTTATCCCTCAAAACTGTAAATACAAAAAAGTTGCACAAAATAGTTTCCTACCACAGGAAATTTATTTTGAGTGTCTTCATACTTTTATTTTTGAAATACACCAATTTTTATATACTGCAGGAAAAACGAAAATAAATATTATACTGCAAATTTGCAAAAAAGCAGCATATGCATCAAAATAAACTATTTCCAGCAGTGCAATATGAGTCCTAAGCATCCCAGAAATGACACAGAAAGTCATAAAGTCAAACATAACTTTTAAAAACACAAGTATAGGCTCATGAGGCCTTGATGGTAAAAAACTACATTTCCGCGAAAATGACGTCACTTCCGGTTTCAGGCAGGTCATGCGGGCATGCGATAGTTCACGCTGATGGACATAGGAAGTGTTATGAACAGCTGATCGGATCGGCAAAGCGTGTTTCTGGAATATTATGTTTTTGTTGCTGCAAGTGCTTTTTATGCAGTTTTTGCAAAGCTATATGTGGAAGGAAACCGTGACCTAGGGCAAGCTGACGGCATAAGATGTAAGTACAACTCCTACGGTTTCATATGCAAAAAACATTATTGCGCTAGCTTACGTGGTTGCAGTGCTACCGGGATTTAAAAATAGTTACGCAAAACAGAGCGTGCCCGCTCCGACCGGTTTTAAAGGGTTAACTATCGCATGTCCGCCATGACCTGCCCGAAACCGGAAGTGACGTCATTTTCGCGGAAATTTAGTTTTTTACCATCAAGGCCTCATGAGCCTATACTGGTGTTTTTAAAAGTTATGTTTGACTTTATGACTTTCTGGGTCGTTTCTGGGATGCTTAGGACTCAAATTGCAATTACAAAAATAAAACTATGAAGACACTCAAAATAAATTTCCTGTGGTAGGAAACTATTTTGTGCAACTTTTTTGTATTTACAGTTTTGAGGGATAAGCCTCTTAAATTTCTCTAACTAGAAATATATGTTAAACAAACAAAAACGATTTTCAATTTCTTTGTAGTTTATTGCACTTTTTTGCAATTTATGTAATTACTATGCACTTAATGCATGCATATTATTAAAATTTGGGCTATAATGGTTGTATTGATGTATAGCAACTTGAAAAGCTCCCAAAAATGGCTCCACAGCATGTAAAAATATAATATAAGCTCTGGCGGACTTGGTTCTATGGTCGGTCTTAAAGGGTTAAACTAATTATAGCAATTAGTATTCTTTAGGGTGAGGAGTTTTACAATCAATATTAGGATTTAAAAAAAATGTAGACATTATATTATTTCCATTTCCATTGGTTATTGCTCATTGTCAAACCTTTGTTCTGGGATGTTTCAGATTTGCTGACTGGGTAGAAACAGCAGAAGCCTGGTCACAAACAGGTTTTCCCAGAGGAAGTGCGGATTAAAACAAAACAAAAAAAAAAACAAACATCTAATTTGGTCTCAGTAATTTTTTATTTGTTTTCATTTGGTCTTTTTAAAAGTTGTTTGGTGATATTTGACTTTGATTTTGAGTATGTCATTACCAGTGATTTTGGATTTTTATTTCTGTAAGACATGTATCTTGTAATGATTCAAATCTTGAGGCTGACAAAGAAGTTTGAGGAAAAACTGCAAGAAATTTACATCACATCACTCTACATATATTTCAAATCTATTTTAATCATTTTATTTTATGTGCTTAGTTATGGTTCATCCAGATGACAATGGCAATTATATAGCACATTTCAGTACATGTAAAATCAGTCTACTTAACACAGAAGATAAAAACATGGTAACACTTTATAATACAGCCCACAACTAAGGCGTAGTTCCCCTGTAATTAAATGGAATATTGATGTATTTTATCTAAAACTACAATTAAAATTGTAATTTTATTTACCTACAGATATTTAACGGTAGGGATTTCTAAAATGTTTAGAACTATAATGTAATGACTCCTGCAATTTATCTTGTAAACGTTGATTGGTCAGTTAGGGTAAGTAGCTCCATCTCCATGCAGCTGCAGGACTAGTTTTATCTCTTTACATTGTGTCCATCCTCAATTGTTTAATTTCAGTAGTTCTTTTCACTATGGAATTAATTGTCTGATTGTGAGGTGAAAAGTAGTTTTTCATCTCAACCTTTCACACACAAATATGTGTTTTTTGAAAGGTTTTCATACATTAGAGCCACAGCAGAGGGTGTTTGTTTTGAAATTATTGATTTATTTGTAAGGTTAGAGTTTCTGTTTTTTTTTTAAGGACACATTCACACTTCTTGTCATGCTCTTTATTTGTTGCTTCCTTGCTCCCAACAACCTTTCTAAACTGTCATCTGTGTTTATTCTTCACAAAAAATATTGAAATGCTATTTTATTAAAATGGCTTATATTATGTCCTGGTCTCATCAGTTTTGTTTTCTTCAGTAATTACAAAGTCCACACTGAATCTCTGCTGTACATCTGTGGTCGTGTGAAGCTATATTAATGTAACAGCATGTCAGTGTGTAAACAAAGATCTTTGTTAAATGTCAAAAACAGGTTGTGTCTGAAGGCTGCTACTTTTGTGAATATGTGACAAATTATGTTAGAATTATAATCAATTATAAAAACATGTTTAAATCTTGGTGAACAATGCTCTGAGAAAGAATCATTATCTAGGAAATGACTTCAGGAAATAGCTGTGTTATAAAAGGCGTTTTACAATATGTACCAGTACAGACTTGCCCCTGACGGTTAAGTTGTCCTGGGGCAGGAACCATTTTTCCTTGGCTTGGCTTCAAGACTCTAGGATAGGAATACTGGATGTATGTAAATAACTTCTGGCCACTATAATCCAGAAATTACATAAAGGGAAACAGAAAATGAAAAAAAAAAAAGGAATAAAAAAAAACACACCTGTGTTTCACATCTGTTGGTAGTTGGGTTTTTTACTTCTGCTGCATCTTGATGCATGCTCAGTCATCCGACAGAGACTTACAATGCTTCTAGGTGAAAATACTCTTAAAAAGGTGTTTGACTTTACTGAGAAGGCTCATCTAGCACAGCACAAGAAGTCTAAGACCAGGCAACAAGGGAAGTTTGACTTACTTGGTATACGTCGGAAACCACCACAAAATACAGAGAGTGGCCAGAAGAGAGAAGGATGCGACATCGAGGATGTGGACAAGTGGGTGAAGAATTAGTCTGACAAGCAGCTCACCCAAACAGAGAAAAACATCCTTGCTAAAGGGTTGAATTTTGCTGTCACACCGAGACAAATCCCGCTAGTGAAACTGATCAAAGCCACAGAAACAGCAATTTGAAACAACAATATTGCAGAAGTGGAAGCAGAGCAACTACGGACGAAAGTTTGGGTCTGTCTCAGTGTGTTTGCTTTTGGAACTGTGTCTTCATTCCACCGACTTCACATACAAGGGTCAGTACTACAGGGAGAAACATGGGTGTGCCATGGGCTCCCCAGTTTCACCCATTGTGGCCAATTTGTATATGGAAGAAGTGGAAAAGAGGGCTTTGTTATTCTACCCTGGAACACCACCAAGCCATTGGTTCAGATATGTGGATGACACCTGGGTGAAAATCAAATCTCAGCACGTACCACATTTCACAGATCACATCAACTCGGTGGACCAACACATCAAATTCACCAGGGAGGATATGAAAAGTGCCAGGTTAGCCTTCTTAGACTGTGAGAGCTGATGCGTACCGTAAACCTACGCATACAGATCAGTATTTAAGGTTTGACTCTCATCATCCACTGGAGCATAAACTGGGTGTCATTTTACAATATGTACCAGTACAGACTTGCCCCTGACGGTTAAGTTGTCCTGGGGCAGGAACCATTTTTCCTTGGCTTGGCTTCAAGACTCTAGGATAGGAATACTGGATGTATGTAAATAACTTCTGGCCACTATATTCCAGAAATTACATAAAGGGAAACAGAAAATGAAAAAAAAAAGTGATAAAATCCCACACCTGTGTTTCACATCTGTTGGTAGTTGGGTTTTTTACTTCTGCTGCATCTTGATGCATGCTCAGTCATCCGACAGAGACTTACAATGCTTCTAGGTGAAAATACTCTTAAAAAGGTGTTTGACTTTACTGAGAAGGCTCATCTAGCACAGCACAAGAAGTCTAAGACCAAGCAACAAGGGAAGTTTGACTTACTTGGTATACGTCGGAAACCACCACAAAATGCAGAGAGTGGCCAGAAGAGAGAAGGATGCGACATCGATGATGTGGACAAGTGGGTGAAGAATTAGTCTGACAAGCAGCTCACCCAAACAGAGAAAAACATCCTTGTTAAAGGGTTGAATTTTGCTGTCACACCGAGACAAATCCCGCTAGTGAAACTGATCAAAGCCACAGAAACAGCAATTTGAAACAACAATATTGCAGAAGTGGAAGCAGAGCAACTACGGACGAAAGTTTGGGTCTGTCTCAGTGTGTTTGCTTTTGGAACTGTGTCTTCATTCCACCGACTTCACATACAAGGGTCAGTACTACAGGGAGAAACATGGGTGTGCCATGGGCTCCCCAGTTTCACCCATTGTGGCCAATTTGTATATGGAAGAAGTGGAAAAGAGGGCTTTGTTATTCTACCCTGGAACACCACCAAGCCATTGGTTCAGATATGTGGATGACACCTGGGTGAAAATCAAATCTCAGCACGTACCACATTTCACAGATCACATCAACTCGGTGGACCAACACATCAAATTCACCAGGGAGGATATGAAAAGTGCCAGGTTAGCCTTCTTAGACTGTGAGAGCTGATGCGTACCGTAAACCTACGCATACAGATCAGTATTTAAGGTTTGACTCTCATCATCCACTGGAGCATAAACTGGGTGTCATTAGGACGCTACAACACAGAGCGAACACCATCCCCACAGACACAGCGGCCAGGGAAGAAGAAGAACACCACATCAAGAAAGCCCTGAGTAAATGTGGTTATTCCATCTGGACTTTTGTCAAAGCTGGGAAGGCGCCAAAAGAAAGCTCCAGCCGATCCAGGAGAGAAGGACAACCGCTGCCTAAGCAAAAACCTGTAGTGATCCCGTATGTGTCAGGAGTATTGGAGCAGTTGAGACGCCATCCATCTTCCATCCATCTTCATCTGCTTTATCGGGGCCGGGTCGCAGGGGCAGCAGCCTAAGCAGAGAAGCCCAGACCTCCCTCTCCCCAGCCACCTCCTCCAGCTTATCCGGGGGAACACCAAGGCGTTCCCAGGCCAGCCGAGAGATATAATCTCTCCAGCGTGTCCTGGGACTGCCCCGGGGCCTCCTCCCAGTGGGACATGCCCGGAACACCTCACCCCGGAGGCGCCCAGGAGGCAATCTTGTCAGATGCCCAAACCACCTCAGCTGGCTCCTTTCGATGTGGAGGAGCAGCAGCTGCTCTACTCTGAGCCCCTCCCGGATGGCCGAACATCTCACCCTATCTCTAAGGGAGAGGCCAGCCACCCTTCGGAGGAAGCTCATTTCTGCCGCTTGTATCCGTGATCTCGTTCTTTCGGTCACTACCCACAGCTCGTGGCTATAGGTGAGGGTAGGGACGTAGATCGACCGGTAAATTGAGAGCTTCGCTTTTACACTCAGCTCCCTCTTCACCACGACGGACCAGTGCAGCGTCTGCATTACTGCAGCTGCAGCCCCAATCCGTCTGTCGATCTCCGGCTCCCTTCTCCCATCACTCGCGAACAAGACCCCGAGATACTTGAACTCCTCCACTTGGGGCAGGAACTCATCCCCGACCCGGAGTGGGCACTCCAGCCTTTTCCGGCTGAGAACCATGGCCTCAGATTTGGAGGTGCTGATCTTCATTCCCGCTGCTTCACACTCGGCTGCGAACCGTTCCAGTGCGAGCTGGAGGCCTTCACCCGATGAAGCCAACAGAACCACATCATCCGCGAAAAGCAGAGGTGAGATTCTGAGGCTGAGATTCTGAGGCCACCGAAGTGAAAGCCCCCTGCCACTTGGCTACGCCTAGAAATCCTGTCCATAAAAATTATGAACAGAATCTGTGACAAAGGGCAGCCCTGGCGGAGCACATCACCCACTGGGAATGAGTCCAACTTATTGCCGGCAATGCGAACCAAGCTCTTGCAACGGTTGTATAGGGATCAAATGGCCCGTAGCAATGGGCCAGACACCCCATACTCCCGCAGCACCTCCCACCCCGAGGGACACGGTCGAATGCCTTCTCCAAGTCCACAAAACACATGTAGACTGGTTGGACAAACTCCCATGCACCCTCAAGTATCCTTGAAAGGATAAAGAGCTGGTCCAGTGTTCCGCGACCAGGACAAAAACCGCATTGTTCCTCCTGTCTCTGAGGTTCGACTAGCGGACGAACTCTCCTTTCCAGCACCCTGGCATAGACTTTCCAAGAGAGGCTGAGGAGTGTGATCCCCCTGTAGTTGGAACACACCCTCCGGTCTCCAAGCCGCATTCCGCTTGGCCTGTCGATACCTGTCGGCTGTCTCCGGAGTCCCACAGGCTAACCAAGCCCGATAGGACTCCTTCTTCAGCCTGGTGGCTCCCCTCACCTCTGGTGTCCACCATTTGGTTCGGGGATTACCACCACGGCAAGCACCAACCACCTTGCGGCCCCAGCTCAAGTCAAAGTCAAAGTCAAAGTCAACTTTATTTGTCGATTCTTCCACATGTACAGGACATACGGAGAATAGAAATTGCGTTACTCTTCAATCCCTAGATAAATAGCAAATGAACATTTGCAGCAGCTTCGGCAATGGAGACGCTAAACATGGTCCATTCAGACTCAATGTCCCCAGTCTCCCTCGGAATGCTGTTGAAGCTCTGCCGGAGGTGTGTGTTGAAGATCTCGCGGACTGGGGCCTCTGCTAGACGTTCCCAGCACACCCTCACTACGCGTTTAGGTGCACCAGGTCTGTCCAGCATCCTCCCCCGCCACCTGATCCAACTCACCGCCAGGTGGTGATCAGTTGACAGCTCAGCCCCTCTCTTTACCCGAGTGTCCAGAACATATGGTCGCAGGTCTGGTGATACGATTACAAAATCGATCATCGACCTGCGGCCTAGAGCGTCCTGGTGCCACGTGCACTTATGGACACTCTTATATTCGAACAGGGTGTTCGTTATGGCCAAACTGTGATTTGCATAGAAGTCCAATAACAAAACACCGCTCGGGTTCAGATCAGGGAGGCCGTTCCTCCCAATCACGCCCTTCCAGGACTCGCTGTTGTTACCCACATGAGCATTGAAGTCTCCCAGCAGGACAACAGAGTCTCCACCTCCCAGCCCATTGTTCTTTCAGTCGGCTGGTTTCAGTCATTATGCAAATGTACTGTTTATAAGATTGGGTGAACCTGCAGTCAGCTGAGACTGCA